ATTACTATAATATAGATATAGTGGACATATTTAAAATGATTGCAAAACAATCTCCAATTTGATGGCAACATAAGTGGGCCATACCTGACAGGCATCGACACCTCCATCTGGAAGTCCGGCGCAGAACATGGCATCAGTGACGGGCAGTATATCCCGGTTCTTCTCCTTGCAGTCATTCCTCTCGACCACCGGAATGTCGACCGTCTGGAGAGTATCGGGAAATATGTTGACTCCGTTCTGAAGGCGTCCCCAACCGGTGATTGTAACGACGGTGCCGGCGGCCACATCGGAGCCCTGTGCGGCCAACTGTATAATATTAGAGTCTTGAGTGCCTAGATCAAATTCAGCTTCGATTCTGAGTAAGGCAATGTCATTGTTGAGCGGACTGCCAGAGTTGTAGTCCGGGTGAGTGATAATCTCGGCGATCGCATAGTCCTTCCCTCCCGATGCGTGCAATAATGTACCGCAACGTAGCGTTCGCGCCGAAGGACTTACACTTTCATGTGTTATAACAAAAGTTAATTACTTATTATTACATTACAGTATAATTTATAAATTATACTATACAACAGTGTATGACATACCCGGCCACACAATGAGCTGCAGTGATGGCCCATTTGGCGCTTATGATAGAAGCTCCGCAGCCGTGAGAGTATGATCTCAATGAACACATGTGCGGATTGTCACCCCTTTTGGCGTCAGTGCCACCGATAATCTGTGGCTTCAGCACCGGGTCCCCCAAAATTGTGGCGCTAATCACCGCTAAAATTAATACAGTTTTCAACATTATTTTTGTGAACCTCTTGCAAACTACAAGACTTTCCACTGAATTACTTCAGCTCTCAGATCCCCTTTTTATACAATTCATATACCGTATAATTTATATCATAAAATCTCATTGAATACTGTATAATATTGTAAACGTTTGGATCACTGGTAATGATTAAATCTAATTTATTTTATTTTTATAATTTAGATAACTACAAAAATAACATTTATTTTTCAATTACTGAATTGTCTTTTATAATATATAATATAAAATTATAATAATATATATTATATTATACTGTATATTAATATAATTACCGAATTTTGTTTTTCATTTCACTATTTAAAGCAATCGTGTATAGAATTATTGGATGGAAAAGTGGACTTAAAAGTATCATAACTTTAGATCCGTTTGAATGTTGTAAATGAATAAAATATTATTATTATTGTAGTCAGATTACGCACACAAAATTATAAATTATATTTTAAAAGCAATTTCTTACTTAAACAATTGTTATTTATAAATGTATCCGATAAATACAGTATAATTTCTTAAATAACAATAAAATTTGTCTATTTTAAAAATTAACTTTGTATTTAATAAAGTAAATATAAATATGACACTATTCTAAGTGAGGTAATGAAAGTTGATTAATATGACTTTAAAAGTTTTAGATAATTATGGAATTTAAAAGTCTTCTGTATTCACTGAATTGAAATTAAATTTTAATTAAAACTGAAAACACATAAGAAATTAAATTATACAAATTATATGCTAAATTATCTTTTTATTTTATTAATCAAATTTAATTTAAGTTCAAAAATCAGACATTAAATAGTGGTTTAATTTCGGTTTTGGGAAATCCATGTCAATAAACTGGCCACATTTGTATAGACACCGGGATATGCAGCCAATGCACAGCTCCGGCCCCATGACACCACTCCCACCAACACTCCATTCTGGGTGAGGGGTCCACCGGAATCGCCCTGAATATGCCATCATTTTTATATGAGTTAAGCATTTTAATCAAGTAATTACTTAACATATGATATTATACTGTACTAATTTATATTTTAAGCGGTAGTATTAGCAATCATTTAACATTTAATGTAAGATATTATTTATTTAGTTGTTTTAATTGCTTATTCGTCTAATGTTATTATTTTTGAGGATCAAATCAAATAATGAATTTAAGCCATTACTGTATGTCTGTATACGGACTATAAAACTAGTTAAAGAACAGCTAAAATGTTATGAATGGTATTGTATAAGATTGATAGTATGTTTGTATGAAGTAAATGGTTGAGTCAAAATAAAGTAGATGTGAATGTAAAGTACCTGGCACGCATCTACGCCACCACCGGTTACGGCCGCACAGATCATACGATCGGTAATACCACTACCATAATTGGAGTTACAGGTGGCCCTGGCTACTATATTAACGTTAGCCCTCTGTAAATCAGCCGGCAAAGTGCCTGCACCGGCACGGGTGGTACCCCAACCGGCCACCAAAGTCGAACTACCGGATGCCGGTTCGCTTGATGGCAGAGTAATGGCCTTAACGTTATTGTTGTCTAAAGTGAGAGCTGAAGCCAATTTCAATATAGCGATGTCGTAGTCAATGGTCGACGGGTTGTACTGTGCATTGGATCGGATGGCCTGCACCTGAACCTGTTGTCCACCCGACGCGTGCTTTAGTGAACCCACACGAGCCTTAATACTCGAGGCCGAGGAACTGTATGTCAAGCAATTAGGCATTATTAGTGGGGTTGAGACATTCAATACTGTACAACAAGTACAGTATTATTATATTTTAAACTAGAGCAACAACTTATTTTCCCTGTCCTTTAACTTCCCTGTGTCCTCCCTGTACTTTCCACGGGGTCGGGACGGGAAGGAAAGGGAATCGAAATTACAAAAACAGAGAAAGGAAGGGAATCCCTCTTTACTACAATTTGCCTCTTCCCTGTAAATTTGCTGTAATAGTCTAATATTTGTCTAATATTTAGAATGGTTGTCTAATAGAATTACAAAGTTATTGATAATATGGTACATTATATTATTTATGTGATTTATACAATACAAATTTATTAGCCTATATTAAACAGTGCAATGTATAATAAAAACAGTCACAAAATAGATGTAAATGTATCATAAATATATAGCAACTCAATGTAATTATGTGTAAAATAAGTATTACAGGGAAATTACAGGGAATCCACGGGATTCCCCTTTAGTGAACACGGAAGGGAAGGGATTCCCTCCAAGAGAAAATAACAGGGAAACGGTAGGGAATGGAATTAAAATTTTGGAAAAGTTGTCTCTATTTTAAACTATTGAAAGCAAAGGACAGGAAAGGAGTTTCTCTTTTATAGACAAATCACACAAATAGATAGACAAAGCAATCAATAGTTGGTCTATCTTAGGACTATATAGTCATAACAATTTCATACCCGTCCACACAATGAGCGGCTGTTATCAGAGTGTTGGCGTCCAGAATGGATGAGCCGCAGAAGTGAGATGAAGTGGCCAGGGAGGCGATGTGCGGCACTTCGCCTGCTTTGGCATTAGTTCCGCCCACGACGTACGAGTCGGTGCCGTTGTAAGGGTTGTACCACTTGCCGGTGCGCAGTGCTTCGGGAACCGGGAGGCCTCCATTGCGGACATAGACCTCGTAGGGCACCGGTAGTCGAACGGCTCCACAACTGACGGCCAGCGCCAGACAGACGACTAGAATTGTATTCATTATTCGCTTCTCTTATAGCAATTGAATATCAATTCTATTCAATACTAAAAGACTAAACTTTTTTCCGTCGATTGAAGTGTTGATTGAAATTTATTTTTGTTGCCATTTATATACTTTTGTTTAGATGCTCAACACCACTATAATTCAGTGTATTAGTCAATATAGAGGGGAGGGATTGAGTGTCTTATTAAGAATTTAGTATAAGAATTGTTTAATGAATTCATAAATCAGCACAACATGTGATTCTGTTTTTAAATGTTATAAATTAAGAATTTTATTGAATTCATTCATATTTGTGATATATTTATTGGTTATAAAATACTCGTTAGTGTGAACATAAGATTAGTTAAACAGTAAAACTGATTGTACAATTAGGTTGAAATAATTTTACAATAGAGTTAGCATCAAATAATTTACTAATGATTTAATCGCTTAGAAAAAATCTAATCTGATTTGTTTTTAATACAAAGTTATATATTAATAGAGAATAAAGTATCATTAAAATGACAAATACGGCACGAATACCCAGAGTTATAGTAATTGAATATCCTTGTTTTTTAATTAATATCTTTGTATTAATAAAATACATATTTAGAAATCCATAAGATAACTTATATACAGTGTGTTTCACCATGGACCGCTGACTTTTAATTGCAATATCTCAAAAACTAAATTAGATAGCAAGGTACTCTCGACGGTTTCTAAAACTAGAAAGTATAGCAAATTTTTTGACATACTGATCACCCAGGTGCGACTTGAATTAATGTTATTTCTATGGACACTCTTGAAGACATGAGTTACAGTATGAACAAAATGAGCAAGATAAATACAATCTATAACAAATCTATAGAGGAAGGTATGAACTTTCATATGGCATCGAGATTACTCAGCTCCGATATATGGTTCAGTCACAAATAACTTTTGAAAATCAAGAATCTCTATGTAAATTTCAATGGGAAATTTTCAATCTATAATTAATAACAATAAAATAGTAGCTAGGTAAAAGTGTTCTATAGCTCAAAGAGAGAGAATTTAATTATCTTTCAAATGGTGTATCACTCGCTTAGGTC